GACCCCTGCAGTTTTCCAGGGGAAAATGCACCAGCAGTCGTACAAGCATCTTCTGCGTTCAAGGTCAAAATCTGTCCCTAGGCCATGAAATTAGGGAGTTTTGATAGGCGTGTAGAAATTTGACCGGGAAACGGCGTGGAGGGTTTGTCTCCTGTAACCCGCAGGTCTCAAGAGAAGGGCAGTTCCCTCCTCCTGTAACTGGAGGAGCGCGCGTTGCCTTGGCGGTTGCATTTGTCCCCCGGCCGCGGGCTGACAGCGCTTGGACGCCTGCAGACCGCAGAAAACCCAAGGATGGGAAAGTGCTATGGCAGAGGGACTTTACCTCTTCTTGTTAAGGCTTTTTTCCCTTCTATGAAGAAATAAAGTTTATGGCGACAGCCTTTTTTTTTTTTTTTTTTTTAAATCTAATCTGAGTTTATTCTTAGCAACATTAAATTCCATCATTTACAAGCTAGTAACTCAGGTCAACATGTTTACAATGTCAGTAGTTGGTGTGTTGCCAACCATTCAGCTCACTTTTCATCTTTTTGTGAGTTTTACTAATTTTCTTCTGGTAAGACTCCAGGCAAATCCCAGTTGACTTCTCTTGCAGTTATTTTTAACTTCCAAATAGAAGACATAATTTGGTCTCTTGGCTTTTCTTCTTTTTTGAGGGAGGATGGACAGTTAGTTAAAAATACCTTTTTGGTTTTTTTCATTTTGTGACTAAGCTAATTTCTGTTTTGCAATAGAGGATCTGTATTTTTTTGTTAATTTCTTTTAAATGTGTGTGTCTACTTAGCTTTTAAATGGAGAAACTTCAAATCTCCTCAGAGGCTACACCGAAATTCCTTGGATTAACAACACCAACACACCTAGATTAATGGAGGTCTCAGGTAAAACCCTATTTTCAGCTTTTTATGAAAGTTCAGGATGGCAGAAAACCCATACATAATCAGACTATATAATAGTGATATTATGTAGTTTGAGGACTATATCTCAAACTAAATTTGTAATCCATACATATATTAATACATCCAAGATGCTATTTCCAAGCAGTTAAGCTTATTCTACAGCAGGATTTCAGCTGTTCGGCTCCAAGGTTCTTCCAAAGTCTTGTTAATTTATTGTTTTTTACTCTTCACCTTTCACTAAGCAAGATGGACTCTTCAAGTTTTGTGCTGAAAACTAATTTTTGATCTAGAAATGCAAGTTCCACTGTTTTTTACCATACCTTGCCATTCCAATATGTAAACATACAGATGTTTCACTATTTTAACATGACATAAATATCACATTAGCAAAGTCAGGATAATGAACAAATCACAAGCACAGCGGTTTTTGGAAGGGCAATTAGGCTGAAATATGCTTCGCTCACCTCAATTCAGTACTGAGAGAGCTGGAATGAAAATGACAATAGCTGAACTCAGAAGTTATCACAATTTAACAACTTGGTTGAGGCAAGATGAAGGTAGCTTTAGTCTGGCATGTGATAATGTACGCTAACTTCACACTCATTGTCTTTCACTAGTAGCTCAGAGTCAAGGATTTGTCATGATCAGGCCTTGAGTCTAAAGAATAGATATGTGTTTAGTGGATGTTATTTATCAAAATTACTGTGCATGTCTCATGTCTGTGGAAAGGGAGGATTCTTTTGTTTTGACTCAGGCAAACATTTTCCACCTCATACAGAACTGATGTTTTGTTAGTAAAATACAAAATATTTTGAGTACTTTTTAATGCACAGCAATGCTAGAAAAAATTGTATGTTATGCTCAGTAAAGTATATCTAAACATTCATAAAGCTCTCAGGCACTTTAAGGCTACAGACTGGAGAATGGCTGTGCATCCTGCCCATCGCATTCAACGTCTGTGTCTGCGTGTGCTAGCCATTTCCCTGGCCTTTTGTCTCTCTATCCTCGATGATACTGCTGCTATGGTGAAAAATAGAGAGAAAGAACAACAGGATATTGTCCAATTCTGGTCTGTGTGCCAATGGTGACAAAATGTTGTTTTGTCCTCAGTTTGGGGATTCTTGTTGGCTTTTATTAGTCCTGGGCCAGCCTGAACACACTAAGGTTTTTTTTTAAATTCTTCCAGCTAGTGTGGAAACCTTGAGTCTCTAGGAGGAAGGTGGTGCCCTGTGCCCTGGCACAGACAGTCCCGTCCTGGAGGATGATACTCTGACTCATGCAGAGGAAAAGAAGAGTTCTGTTGCAAAACACAACAGGAAGACGTCCCACGCTGCTGTGTGCCAGGAGGACACCTACAGAGCCGCCGCAGGGGTGGAAGTGAGCCACAGGCTGTATGGATAGTGCTGAGAAAACTGCACAGCTGCACAAATCTGACGCCAAACTAGGGCACTATTTTCGGTTTCCGTTCTGCTTTTCTGACACCTGTAGGTAAGCGTGAAGTGCACAACAGACTTCTGCAGCACCTTACAGAGCAAAGGAACTGTGGCAAGGCATGGAGACACGGCGAAGCGTTCTTGCTTAGCAATCAGGATTAATTATAACCCAGGAATACGAACTGTAAATGCGCTGGAGTTGTGCAGACAGGAGCTGGCTGCGTGTCAGCACTTGAATGAGGACGTACCATCCCGTCAGGACCCCCTGGGAGCAGGAGGTAACACCCAGGTACGCACAGAGCCCCACGGGGGTAGATGGCCAAATGCTGGGGGGTATGGCAGAAGGAGAGCAGGCGTTCAGCCATTATTTTGGGATGGGGATGCTTCTCTATCTACTTTGATGCTCATCTCAGTCAGTCTGCTTTCAGAATAGGTTATTAGTGTACAGTGACACACTTTCTGATTATTAAGACAATCTTAGCTTTGATACAGTCTCCTTAACAGGAAGTAAACGCAGAAGATCTGCAACTAATGTGCAGTCAAAAGCTTCGGCGTCTGCATGTTCTTATGGTTGTGTAGGTCACTGTCCTTTCTTTGCTGCACCCAAACAAGGCATCAGTGGTGTTGAAGACCATTGTGAGAGGATGAAGTGAGGTGAAAAAATGATAATTGAGCCAGAAAATGAGTTGTATTAAAAACCCAGGATAAAATGGAATAATATATGACACATTCTACAATAACGTATCATATAGGCCACCTAAAGCTGAGGCAAACGTAACAAACGCTTTGAAAGATAAGTGGCAGAAATTTAAAAAAATCTGCTTGAAGTGTGAGAAGTGGTGAAGTGTAAGAAAACCACAAAGGTGAAAGAAATAGATGTGCTAATTACATACTTGTGGAACTGCATAAGAAATGCCTGTGAATGGGGAAGCTTATGCTGTTTGGTTGTGAAGACTTCAGTGGGGATTCAGAAAGGCTGAATTGATGAAACTGTAACTTCTCTTAAGTTGTAAGCTTTTAAAAAAACCCTTTACCAATTAATATGTTATAATATTGTTTCGGTGATCTGGAGTGTGAGAAAGTTGATATGAAAGACTACTCTGTAGCCCTGGGTTTGATTTGAAGGAAGGTATTACAAGAAGTCAGCAACCACTAAAAAAGTTGGTTTTCATCATAGCTTCAGGGTACTTAAAGTCTGTGAGTTTCCTGGTTGTGTCTCAGGAGTGCTGTGTTAGTAGTTTTATACATTCTGGGAAGATCTATCTGATGAACAGTTTCTGTTGCTGATATACAAAGCTCTCTTTTTTTTTTTTTTCCCCCCCCCCCTCTTTTAAGGGCTTTTTGGAATTGTAGAATACTCTTTACTTTGAGCTTTTCTGTGTCTAAGAAGAGTAACTATATCAGATGTAAAAAGGAAACTTTTATTTGCACCTGTTTGTAAATGTTAGGCATTCAATCTGTTGTACTTCAAAGCTATTTTCTTCTGAAATACTAAATAGTTCCTAAGCATTGGCTAGCTCTGCTTACAACCAGATCGTGGACTGTAAAACAAGACCTGACTTAATTCTAGCATTCCTTTTATTATGCTTCTGTAAAGAAACCAGAACTTAAACTACTGTCTGGGAATAAATGTGCAGACTTCTTAACCCTGATTTCTGACATGAACATACTGATTTTTAAATTGATGCTATTCTTCTGTCTAGGTATGCTTTAAGAATGTTACAGTCTTGTTTTAGTCTTCTGAAATATCTATTGCTCAATAACTTATATAAGATTTTGATATATTTTATTATAAATTTAAATGATAATCATAATTTCTTTGCAGGTGTACTCATCAGATGCTTTCTGTGATCTTTATCAGTGAATCTGCACAAGCAATTCCTTCTTCAACTCACTTTAGGAACTGCATCTTGGTCCTTGTACTGCTTTAACTCCCATAGAAATAATTACACTTAACAAGACCTTATCACCTACTGAAAAATATAATGACTGAATTCCTGGTTTGTTTTAATTGGTGCAATGGAGAACAGCCCCAGCCGGTAGGTAGATGCACAACTGCCATCCTTTATCAGATTTTAAATTTTGTCTTTCAGTTATGTGGAAAACACTTTCATTGCCATGTTGTTTTGATTAGTTTGGGCTAATTAATGCAAAAGCTAAACCCAGACCTGTTATCAATGTCTAAACTATGTATGTTTTGTCAGAAACTTTGTCCATGTGACCACTTGCAGTTCTTAGGCTCTGACTTTCCAATGTTAAAGAAAGTTTTTACTAAAATTAGCAATAATAAAAGTTACTTGACCCTTTCTTACTGCAAACAGTCTGAAAATTCAGACTGGTTGCCATGAGGAGTCATTAGGGGTCAGTCTATTTTTTTCTTTTTTCTTTTTTTTTTAAACTCAGCTGCCTGTTTCTGTCTGAAAGCTGCTTGTGTTTTTTGAACAGAGACCTAAGATGTCTTCTCTCTTATAGAAGAGGCGTCGGAGACTGGACCGGAGTATGATAGGAGAACCAATGAACTTTGTACATACTGCACATGTTGGGGCAAGAGAGATGAGTAGTGACTATTCATCAGTAAGTGTGCACCTCTTGGATAAGCAGAAATCTCCACTCAGTAACCTGTAGAGCAGATAGCTAATAAAATACTAGATAATTGTAAGAGAGAAAAATCTGACTACTTTTTTTTTTTTCATCAGAAGAACAGCATCCGAACAGAACTGTCCTTTGATTTGTAAACGTAAGATACTGTGGAAGATATATTCAGCAAGAATTGCTTATTTCCCCAGTATCTTTACACATGATGAGAACCTTTTGGATAAGGATTCTGTGGATGCACTTGATACTAGGTCCAGATAACAGATCACCCTCAAGTCAAAACTGTGCCAGGGTGAGGGATGTAAGAATAAGTGGATTTTAGATAGCAAGACCCATCTTGTGCACAGACTTAAAATAGCATTTAACAATTCTGTGTTTAGTTGTAATTTCAGGGTCGGAGCACTGTAAACATATGGTTCATCTGCCTCACCAAATTGGTGCTTTTAATAACTGCTCTGGCAACCGGACTTTGTAAGATGCTTGTTCTAAATTATTTTTTTTTCTAGGCTGTATCAATTCAGGACCACATGAAGTCTAAAGGTGGCTACACAAATGGCACTTCTGCGACTGTTGAGATATAAGAAACTGAGAGAAGGCTGAAATCTGCTCTGTCTTACGAGGACCCTCCTGGACTGTGCTTTCATATTCTCTAAAGCCTCTTTATCATGGAGTAGAGAGAGAACTTGAATTATAAATAGGTTAGTGCAAGCTTTGGTGTTTTTTGCACAATAGCTTCTTAAGGAGTTATTGTAAATTATTCTTAAAATGATCTGTCATGGTAGTATTGTAGTAGCAACTGTAATTTGCACTGTAGATGACTTTCTAGCTGTACCTCAAAAACCTCACAAAATTGTCTTGTAGGATGGGATTGGAAGTCAGTATGAATTGTCTGGGGTTTTGGTCTCTGTCTTTTTTTTTTTTTTCCCCTCAAGAAATTCAGAGGTTGATTTAATTGGAAAACATCATGTGTGAACTTCTTACCTGGGCTAAATGGAATTGCTAAGTAGGATCTTGTAGCCTGTAATAAAACTTTGGACCTAATTTTTTGATGGCTTACAACCTAATGCATAAATCTACTGAGCTGCACTTTGGTATCTTTTTAATGTCTCTTCATGGTGAATGAACTCCTAATGCAATATAATTAGCTGAGTCTGCAAACCCCAGTGAAACTTCTGCCTTGCTGTGATAATGCTTTTGGAGCTAAAAATGGAAGTTTTGTAAACATACTCTCAAATGAGGCTTAGAAAAGCAGATGTTTCTCTCAATTACTGGGCTGCTTCCCTTCCATACATGCAGTAGTGTGACTGACAGGTACTACTACCACAGAGCTAATAAAATGTACCAGTTAACTTCAAGTGCTACAATATGCTCACAATTGTGTTAATTTTGCATGAGTACTATTGAATTTTAAACTAAAGCTCACTCTCTGTTATCTATCTGTAACAGTAACTACACAGGACTTCAAGGGGTATCTCACTTGTCTTTCTGGCTCCTTAATTTCAAGACTTTTTTTTTTAGATTAACTGAATTTTTTCTTGTATATGCTTTTAAATGATATGGTTTAAATAAAAACTATGATTTAAGTGATACAGCCATGTGAAGGACAAAAACTTAAAGAATATTGTGAAAACTTGCAGGAGAACATTAAATGGAAACAGTGTCTTGCAGAGTTCTAGCACTTCATAAATACAGATATTTAGCCATACCCAAACTACAGTTTATCACTTGGCTCTCATTCATCTGTCTATTAAGTGATATGAAATACTGCAGAAGTAGAGCTAGAGCTAGGTGGTTTTTTTGCCCAATCACTGGCAACTGTTCCCAAACTCAAAATTTTTAATGACTACCAGTTCAGAAATTTAGGAAATCTGCTTGCTGTCATGGGATTAACTAAAAACAAGTGTTCAAATTACTGCTAATTCAGCACCAGTTATGCTGGAAGTCAGTGGGGCGCTCTCCTTCTTGCTCTAGGCATAAGATCAGTTATGAACTTTTTACCATTAAAAAAAAAAAATCCTTATTCTTGAATTAGAATACATGCTGTATTTTAAAATATCTTAAAATTGGCATGAGTTAGCTGTGCACTTACCTTTTTAAGGTCTTTCATATGTCTGTCTTCTAACTTCAGATGCATTCCAACAGCCTAGTTAAGATACAGAGTTCAAAGAAACTAAATCCTGTGTACTGTTGAGGAAGCATAAAGCGGCCAAGTTGTTTTAAAGAATAACTCTAAATTCATCTGCTATTACATTGAGTTCATGCATTCGTTGGTCCATACTTGCCCAGAAAGAATAGTGGTAGGACAACTGTGTTGAAGAAAAAGGGCTGTATTTCGTTAACACTGTAAGAAAACAAATTGAACAGGAGTTTGTAAGACTCATTCATGTGTTTAAGATTAGTGGTATATGCATAACTAGAAATGAAAAAGTTTGTGATCATGTCAGTTCCTCTTTCTAAAAATAAACCAATGGAGATAATTTTGTTATTAAACCCTTATTTATAGAAAAATCCTAGTTTTCATTATGTAAACCAAGCAGCATTATCTGGTGCAAAATTAATCTGTTTTCATTAGCCTATATAGTATTAACTAGGACCATATTAAAGTTAGCTAAGTTTTCACATTATTAAAAGGAAATGTTTTGCTATTGCATTAAAGGTGCCATTACTTTTAAAATCTAAACAAACATAAAAGCATGTCTTAGGACTTGGGTATTTTTTGCTGTATATTTAGAAACATTATCTAGCTGTAATCTTTCATGTAACTCAGCATGAACCCATCTTGGTTATAATAAATCTGTTGAACTAGGCACTTGCACTTTTCTCATCGTGTGAAAATCTTGGTATTTTTCTCTGCACTGAAAACCTGTTGGTCAGGCGGATGGATCAGCATGGCTTGAACTTTATTGCACAAAATCAAGTATCTCCACTAGGGAGCACAATTTTACATCGAGTCTCTTCTCTCTCTGCTCTATACAAGCTATTACTCCAGTGAGGTTGTTTTGGGTTTGGGGTTTTTTTTTGTTTGGGTAGGTTGGTTGGTTGGTTGGTTTTTTAACTTGGCTGGGATAAAATACAGCAATTGAGACCAAAGGATCAAACTTGTTAATCCACCTTGCAGGCTGCGAAGACCTTATATCAACACAATGTGGCAATGAAACGTTACTGCACTGAGTTGATGGCGTTTTATGGTTTCTTTTTGTAGTTTAAAGTAAAATAACTCGCAAGTGGAACAGGATCAAGTCTTTCATGTGTAGTCTGGCAAAGTCTTAGCATAAAAAAAAAAGGGGGGGGGATTTCTCTGCTAGGCTTTACTGACTATCCCATAATGTTGTATAAATCTGTAATCAGTATATAGAAAAGGTATTTGGCTTTTTCACAACCTAATATGTCATTTTACCTCCTGTAGCAGCTTGATAACAATTACATAGTGTTATGCTATGTTCCAAATTAGTCTGTAATATGATAACTTCCAACCCAGGCATGTAGTACTATTCCTTTGTATGGTCTTGCCATATTGGACTACCAGGTGCTTCTGTAGCTTCTATGCTGTATAGACAAGAAATGTTTGAGAGATTAATAAATACCCTTAATCTTACTGTGCCAGTGAGAATAAGCATAATCTGACAATGCCAAATTCCACAGAGGTATGGTTATAAAACTCATTATGTGTTACTAAATACAGTAACACTGAAAAAAAAAAGTCAAATCTGTCAGTGAAAGATGATCACATGGCTGCTCTTGATTGTGTTTGGATTTACTTTGCTATCAGCACTGTGACACTGCCATAAAAACCCAACAGTTGAAGATAAGAATGATCTTGTCTGCCTTTTGTAATCGCTGTGGAGATAGACAAGATGAACTGCAGGAAGAAAACAGTGCTGTGTTACAGTGGTGTCAAAAAGATCTCTGGTGAGTAGGTTCCTGTAAGGTTTCCAGATACAGATACTTTGTGGTTCTGCAAACTTCATTGGTCAAGAATCTCAGGCAGTTGTTTCAATGGTACTGTGCTATGAAATCATTCAGATAAAGTTAGGCAGTCAGGGAATATGAAGTAGAAGCTACATCTTTCTAGCTTTGTATCTTTTTCCCTCAGGAGAACAAACTCTTCAGTGGGCCTGATTAAAAAGAGTATTTGCAGTACTCTGGTTTACTAGGTTATGCTTCTAGTTTATGGCTCCTGAAGGTAGACTTTGAATTCTAAAGCCTGTCACACCTGTCTAAAGACAGGTGAATCACACACTAAGGGTTAATATCAAGTGTGGAGTCCTGAAATAAAAATATCTGGCTCATTAGATCGGCCTCAGGGCAGAAAACAAAGACTAACCATAAATAGAATGTTTTTCTAAAAACAAGGCTGCTTATAATAAAATATTTCTTATTTATTTTTAAAAATAAGTGCAGACTTGCATTTTTAACTCCTTGCTATTGTAGTACCACTCTTATTATGTACCTTTCTGTCTTGATACAGGGACTGGATCAATAGAGTTTAGACCCAAAGTAGCAGTTAATGCTTGAAATTCAAATTTTTAGATGCTTACCTCTACAGTTGAAGTCCCTGTGCACCTAAAGAGAGGTTGGTGCTCAGGCTTCTGCAGACAAACTGCCCTTTGTACACAGTGATTTGTCTGGCACACAAGGCCCAAGTTCCTTACATCAGTGGTTTTCCTGTTGATATTCATGTGATTACAGTGTATTTGTAAAAGGTTTCCTAGTCCTGTACAGAATAGGTCCTCTCCAGGAACTGGCGTGTTGGACAGTTGTTTCCTCAAAAGAGCATTAAGCTGTGGAGTTACTTAAACTTATCGCTACCTGCAGCTCTGAGCCAGTTTTGTACTTTGCTGCGTGAAAGCATGAAGTCTCCTTGTTACTGCTTAATTCTTCATACTCCAGAGGAAGGTGGTCAGAGAGGCTAATGGCTTGATTGGGAACTACAGAAAAATGAGATGTAGAGGTGAGGCAGGTTTAGAAGCCATGGAAAGGCGATGTGGTATATGTTTAAGGAATAAGCAGGGAGCAGAACATGTGCATGTTAATGTTTATTACCTGCAAGGCACAGGACAGCTTTGTTGATACCAATTGGAAAATACTCGTAATGTGTGCGTAATTGGTATATGGAGGAAATTGGGCACTTAAGCGCATGACTAAGCTGGGACTTTGAGACACAGATTGCCAATGTAACTTTAATGGATGGTAGTATACTCTTCCCGGAGTGGCTACAAAGCTGTTTTCAGAAAGTATGGAGCCATCCAGACAGCTAGTTTCAGCAGTTGCAGACTGATGGCATATGTATATCTGGAAGACAAGATGGCACATTTTTTCTGATGAATGTAAGGTTGTAGATGTTCTAAATGCTGAGGCCTGCTGCACTCAACACTGCCTCCATGGAACACAAATCAAAATTTAGAGGTAATACAAAATAGCAGCAGTAAAAGGGTATTTGCCTTCAGTCCGCCGTGCTGCTAAAACTTCAGGAAAATTAACTAGATCCATCTGATATTCAGCTTCCAGGCAGTGGGAGGGTATGATGGATTGGAGCTGAAAGGTCATGAAGAATTCCTTGTGCCTGGGAAGGTTTGTGTAATGCTCTCCTGGGTTCTCTGCAGGCTGGGGTTCCAGGAGGTCACCATGGCCACACCAGGTTTCCATTAAGACCTTTTCTCCCAATGCTATGTAGAAAAAGAAAACTTGAAAGAAAATAGTGAAAGCACTTTGAGTAGACAGGAACATTACTAGTATGTGTTCTCGTGCCAAAAAAAGTCCCAACTTTAGGTGCTCGATACTGAACTAGGACTGCTGTCTTCACCTGGGAACTTAGGGATGAGCAAGCTCATGTTGTAATAAAAGGCTGTGCCCTTTCAGGGAGAGTGGGGTGTGCAGAGGCACCCATGGTGTGGTGTGCTTTGGCCTCCGTATCGTCTAAGTCCAGCCCTAACTGGCTTATCAAGCATTGCGGTATGGCTACCGGACGCCTTGTGGTACT